CTCAAGCCGTCTCCAGCCATTATTAGTCTCAAAGTGGGTTCCTCGTCATCGAATTTGAATTCACCACTTAAGTTAGTTTTATACAGCTATGATTTAACTCTTTTACTGAACACCACTTAGGTTCGTTTTTTCAACTCGTCATGAAACATTTACTACCTGATATCATGTTTATTAATTAAAAAAAATTAAACTTTGTTTACTAACTCAACCATAAGCCTTGTTGTAATACTAAATATTGTCTCTTGAATTATTTAAAAACAGCCAGAAATAATTTACTAAAATTATGGTCTTAAAAACAAGTAAAGTTAGTTAGTTTTGTACAGTTTTCTTTATTTGTTGTTAATAGTAAATCTACTCGATAGACTATCTATTATGTGCTCATCGCGACTGTAGGAACTTAATTTTTTAGTGTTATAAGTCACCAGATTTGCCGCCGAATCACTGGAGGGCGCTTTGTTTTATACAAAGCCTTCTAGCTAGTTGAGAAACAAGATATACGCATTCTGTTGTTAACTAAACTTAAAACCTTTTTGTTTTATAGAAACAAATGTTTGACGTAACTGTCCGTTAGTTTTTAAGTGAATATATTGATTTATAAATTACCTCAAATGTCCATAGAATGTGGATATTGTTTTTTTTCCTGTTTGCGGTTTGTTAAATAATATTTGACATCATTGTGCAGTCATCCGCGAGAATATTCATGACGGTATGAACAAATAAAGAGAGAGAGTCCTAAAAGGACGACAGATTCGGGAAATGATATGAATAAATAGAAGGAGATATATTTATATGTGATATCCTGTTGGAAACACTGTGTTCGTGAGTACTTTCCTCCAAAAGTAACGAACCGATACGATCAATAGACAATGACACATTAACGTGTATGCCATCTTTCAATGGAGACCTTTCGTTTCGCGATAGGAAACACGATTGTGTCGCCATCTATACACATTAAAATTGTTAGCATTGCTGGAAATTCAAAGTTTATTTTCAACAAGTGTCAACTATACACAACGACATCAGCCATCGTCTCAAGAACGTGTGTAATTATGCAGAACAGACATACAATTCAAGTTTTTTTTATATTATAAAAATTTCCCCACGAATACTAAAATAAACTATAATCAAACTCAACGAACTAGTGGGCCTATTTCTATTTTTTTTAATGCCGTGATAAATCAATCTATTAAATCATAAAAAAATATTGTCATCTAGCTCGACATTATCGCATTGTTTTGAAAGCTAAAGAACGACTTCGTGATATTTGTACTAGGTGAAAAAATAGTCTGAACTTACACACTTTAAACCAACACGGTCCGGGCCAAGTGTAATATTGTGTTCTAATGATAGACTATCTTATTAATTTAACATACTTTACACACTTTAAACCAACACGGTCCGGGCCAAGTGTAATATTGTGTTCTAATGATAAACTATCTTATTAATTT